TGTAACAACGGACAGAAAAATTGTTAAAGAACATATTGAAGATGATGATACCATATTGGCGGCTTATCAAGCTGATCCTAGAATTGGTTTGAGAAACTTTATCGCTTCAACTCAATATGAGCAAATACGTGCATATGCAATATGCATATCAGTCATTTCCTCATTTGTGTATGCCATTTTAATAACAAGTGAATTATTAAAGTAACAAATTAAATTACAGAACAACAACACACAATTATTATCAATTCAATTTCGAAAATTCACAAACTGACAGCGTCAATTTAATTGTCCCTATTATGATTATGATTAGTTTCGTATTTTCGCATTTATGACGATGTATCTCTGTAGTTGTTCGTAAAATAATGTTTTGCTGCGAACTGGTTTATTTTGGGCAAAAAACCCAAGAAACATTTTTTGTTTAGAATGAAACAGGCTATCGGAAATGAATTTTCAAATGGTAAACAAATAATAAGACAAAAAGTTACATTGGAAATACATTTTAGGGGTTGCGTTTTCCACCCCCTACAACCATGGGGTAAACCAAATAAATTTCTGGCTAAGTGTTTTTTTGATGGTACAAAACGTCAGGTTAATTTCAATATTGTAACTTTTTTAGTGCTTGTGAAAAAAATTGTTATACAAATTTTATGTACACCCTTTAAGGGGCTGTATCTTAACAAGGGATGCTCCAATGAAGCTTCTTTATATGAAAGATCCTATCTTTTTTTCGATGAGGAATCACCTCCTTGAATGTTTTACACTTATTTAGTTACACCCTGTATATCCCAGAGACAAACTCATGAACTGAATTATACACAATTTTTGAGTAGAAGATGCGGTTCTTATTGCACCATTACTGGGCAAATGCCATCTAGTCTCGACGAATTATAAGGCCGGAATTATTTTTGATTTGATTCTCCAGAAATTTACTAGTTTCTTTGAAACCAGCCAATTCTTTCTAGGTGTCCTTTCAGAGACCATCAGTACTGAATTTTTCGTGATTCCGGTGTTAGATTTTCAGGAAGGTACCTGAAAGGTAGTTACAAAATTTAAACACTGACTTTGTCTTGTATTAACAGAAACGAGGAAAATCCTAGACACAAATATTCCAGGTTACATTATGATTTACAATGAAGGTAATTACAATAAAAATGATGGGACAATACTTTATATAAAAACAATTATGTATTCGATTTTGATACCATTGAAATAGAAATGCCAAAGTTGTACCATGTTTAACAAACTCTTTACCGAAAATGATTAACAAAACGAATTGTTCATTCAAAACTATTAAAAACCTGTTACAAAAGTTTGAAAAACAAAGTTACCAATTTGATGAAAACCACCAAGCAAAACTACTTTAAGAACAAAATAGAGTACAAAAAAGCAAGATACCAAACAACTATGGAATATTGTGAAAGAAAACACCGGCACTAAACCTAAATCAACCACAATTGAACCAATAAGAAATGGTCAGGGAATACTCTTAACAAGCAACAGAGACATAGCCAATAAATTCAACGATAATATCGTAGATATTGAAAAAAAATTGGCAAATAAAATAGTCAAAAATAATAACCTCGTTTTTGATCCAAACATTTTACCAATTTTTTTTGTCTTAAATGAAGTAAACGATTTATTCTGCGATTTTAAAAACAAAAAGGCGGCAGGAAAAGACGAAATTAGAGCCGAACTGCTAAAATCAATATCACATTATATACTAGATCCTTTAGTTTTCATTATTAATAAATGTATATTACTTGGTGTGTGACTCATTCAAAACTGCAGTAGTGAGTTATATCCATAAAAAAGGAAATAAAGGTGAAATCACAAACTATAGACCAATCTCACGTATCACCCATCTGTCAAATATCTTCGAAAAATTGCTAAAGAAAAGAATAAACTCATATATAACTAAATACGAATTGATTTGAGACAATTTGGCTTCAAAGAAAAAACCTCAACCGAAGACGCGATTCTTGAACTGACAGACATTATATAAAAATCGTTAGAGAAAGGAAAACCTTCTTTATGTCTATTTATAGATCTAGCGAAGGCTTTCGATACTGTCGATCATCAACTACTCCTACAAACTCTAGATAATAATGGTATCAGAGGGAACTGCCAAATGCTTTTTGAAAGCTATCTTCAGAATAGAATGCAAGCTGTGCGAATTGCAGATGCAATTAGCAATCAAAAACAAATAGAATGTGGAGTCCCACAAGGTATGGTACTGGGTCCTCTGCTTTTCAATTTATATCTAAATGAATTATTCAATTTGGACAGCGTTGGGAAAATAATTGGATACGCAGACGATACTGCGATATTCTATGAGGCAGACACTTGGCTTGATTTGAAAAAGAACATAGAAACAGATTTACACTTGCTCAAAAAATGGTTTGACCAAAGACTCCTGACAGTGAATCTGGAAAAAACTAATTTTCTTCCTTTTAGCTGCAATCTATCCAATGATTGTCCATTTGAAACTCTTGATGTCGGCGAACAAGGAAAAAAAATAAAAATAGATTCCCTGAGAGAAATCAAATACTTGGGAGTCTACATAGATAGAAACTTAAGGTGGGACTCTCATATAAAATATACAATAAAAAAACTGCAAACAATGCTTCACAACTTCCGTTCCTTGAAAAATTACTTAC